TGGGGACACCCCAGAGATTGGGGAGGGGATTTGGGGACCCCCCAGCTCGAGGAGGGGGTGCGGGCTGTGGTGGTGACCCCAAGGATGTGGATTTGGGGACACCCGTGTCACCCACCCGGAGTGGGGAGGGTCGTGAGGACGGGAGGGGGTCACATGTGGGGGGACCCCCGGTCTGACACCCATGGGGGTCTCACACACACGGGGGTGTCCCCGATCCCGATCCCGGTGGGTCAAAGGGAGGGTGTCCCCAACCCCACGGGTGACACGGGTGACCCCGATGGCACAGGGTGTCCCCAATCCCATGGGTGACACGGGGAGTGTCCCCGATCCCATGGGTGACACTGGGTGACCCCGATGGCACAGGGTGTCCCCAATCCCGGCTGGTGACACGTGGAGTGTCCCCGATCCCAATCCCGTGGGTGACACCGGGGATGTCTCCGATCCCGGTTGGTGACACGGGGTTGTCCCCAACCCCATGGGTGACACTGGGTGACCGCGATGGCACAGGTGACCCCGATCCCGGAGGGTGACACGGGGAGTGTCCCCGATCCCATGGGTGACACTGGGTGACCCCGATGGCACAGGGTGACCCCAATCCCGTGGGTGACACGGGTGACCTCGATGGCACAGGGTGTACCCAATCCCGTGGGTGACACGAGGAGTGTCCCCAATCCCGTGGGTGACACGGGGGTCCCCGCTCTGTCCCGCTCCCGCCGTTTCCGTGTCCCCTCCCCCGCCGCCCCGGGGTGTCCCCGTGCGGGACCCGCGCGCGCGGAGCCCCGTGACCCCCGCCAGCCCCGTGACCCCCGCGTGTCCCCCGGGGCTGCTCCCGTGACCCCCCCGTGGTCTCCGTGGGCGGTCGGTTGTGACCCGGAACGGCCCCGCCCTCGGTGTCCGGTCCTGGTGCCCGCTCCCGGTATCGGGTCCCGGTGTCCGGTCCTGCTGTCCGGTCCCGGTATCGGGTCCTGGTGTCCGGTCCTGCTGTCCGGTCCTGCTGTCCGGTCGTGGTGCTGCTCCTGGTGTCCGGTCCTGGTGTCCGGTCCCGCTGTCCGGTCCTGGTTCCGCTCCCGCTGTCCAGTCCCGCTGTCCGGTCCCGCTGTCCGGTCCTGGTGCCCGCTCCCGCTGTCCAGTCCCGGTGTCCAGTCCTGGTGTTCAATCCCGGTGTCCGGTCGTGGTGCTGCTCTGGTGTCCGGTCCCGGTGTCCGGTTGTGGTGTCCGGTCCCGGTGCCGCCCCTGGTGCCCGGTTCTGGTCCCGATCCCGGTGTCCGGTCCTGGTCCTGATCCCGGTGTCCAGTCCTGCTGTCCGGTCCTGGTCCTGATCCCGGTGTCCAGTCCCGCTATCCATTCCTGGTGTCCGGTCCCGCTGTCCGGTCCTGGTCCCGATCCCGCTGTCCAGTCCCGGTGTCCAGTCCCGCTGACCAGTCCCACTGTCCGGTCCTGGTCCCGATCGCGGTGTCCGGTCCTGGTGCCCGGTCCTGGTCCCGATCCCGACCCCGATCCCTGTCCGTGTCCCTGTTCCGATCCCAATCCCCAGTCCCGATTCCGATCCCGGTCCCCGTCCCTGTCCCAAATCCCTGTCCCCGGTCCTGGTCCCGGTCCCGATCTCTCTGTCCCGATTCCGAACCCGGTCCCTGTCCCTGTTCCTATTCCAATCCCCTCTCCTTGTCCCCAGTGTCCCCCCCCCCGGTCCCGATCCCGGTCCCTACGGCAATCCCCGCTCACGGTCCCGGTCCCGGTTCCGAACCCTGTCCCCGGTCCCCGTCCCCAGTGTGCCCCTTCCAAGCCCCTGTCCCTGTCCGTGTCCCCAATGTC